AAGGCGGGTCCCATGGCCAGCTGCGCCGCCGTGGCCGCCAGCATGCCGTTCATCTGCGGCTGGCCGTTCATGGGCAGCCCCGCGCCCATCAGGTGCGCCAGCTGGCCGTTCATGCCCGGCATGCCGCCCCCCAGCAGCTGCTGCGTGGCCTGCTGCTGCAGCGCCGCCTGGTAGGCTGCCTGGTAGGCCGCCTGATACTCGGCCGCCTGCATGCCGCCGTGGCCGCCGGGCGGGTGCGGCAGCTGCTGCGCCGCCTGCGCCTGCAGCGCCGCCGCCACCGCCGCGTTGGCGGCCGCGGCCGAGAGCTGGGGCGAGGCCGCGGGCAGCGGCGGCGAGGGCGAGTGGCCCATATGCGGCGGCGGGGTGGCGCCGGCCAGCGCGTGCGCGTGGTGCGCCAGCGCCTGCAGGCTGCTCAGCGCGTCGGCCTGCTGCTGCGCGGCGGCCGCGTGCTGCGCGGCCAGCATGGCGTGGGGGGAGGGCGAGGAGCGATCCACGCCCAGCTGGCTGAGCGCGTGCAGCACCGAGGGCGGCACCGCGGGCGTGCTGCCGGGGCGGTCCATGGGCGGGCCCCCCATGCCCTCCATGCCTGCCGCCGTCAGCAGCGGGTTGGGCGCGGGGCTGGAGGCGTGGTGGCGCAGCAGCTGGTGCGCCAGCTCGGGAGACAGCCCCGGAGGCAGCCCGCCGCCGTGCCCCGGCTGCGGCGCCAGCAGCGGCAGCTCGCTGTACAGCGTGGGGTTGTCCAGCGGCGGCGGCAGCTTCTTGCCGCTGGCCACCTGGGCGCGGTAGAAGCGGTCGTAGTCCTCGTCAAGACGGATGTCCCCCAGACCCAGCTTCTGATCCCCGGCCTGGCCGTGGAGCTGGGTCTGCAGGGAGACGGGCGGCGGCGGCCGGGGTCAGCAGCCAGCCGCGGCAGCCGTGCAAGCAGCGAGGCACGCAGCAGCAGGCGCAGGCGAGAGCGGCGGCCAGCCTGAGAGGCAGGCCGGCTCTGCTGGCTGCAGCTCTCCCCCGCCGCGGTCGGGCGAGCGGCAACCGCTGCTGGACCCAGCCGCTGCTGGCTCCGGCTGCGCCCGCTCCAGCAGCCATGCCGCCTTGCGTGCTGCCGCCCAGCGCACCACGCAGGTGCTGCTGCCGCACGCAGCGCAGCAGGCTGCCGGACGGCGCAACGCATGCAGCGGCGGCGCACCAGCTGTGCGGCCCAGCGGTCATCCAGGTGCGGCGGCGCGGATATGGCGCGCGGTATGTCCAGCTCGTCCAGCAGGCCCGCCACATTCTGGTTCAGGTCGCGCCTGCGGGGAGCAATGGTGCAGGTGTGGGCATGAGCAGCGTGGGGCGGCGGCTGGGTGGGGTGTGCGGGCCGGGATGTCTCACCAGTTGGGACTGCTCAGCGCTCCAGGCTGCCCCCCGTCAGCCCTGCCGCCTGCTGCAAACATGACCTCCTGCTCCTGTAGCCCTCTCACTCAGAGCTCCTTCCTATGCGGCCATGGCGGCTCTCTGCGACGCTGGTAAGCAGCTTATGCTGCTGACTGTCAGTGGGGGCCGCCGCGGCCTCCCTATTTCAGTTGCCGAGCCATCCCACGGCGACCGACCCTGGCACGCTGGGAGTGCAGCCAAATTGAGGTTGCAGGGGGCCGCCTTCTCAATCCCTGCATCGCTGCCACCGCCATGGGCACCGCCCAGGCCCCTCAAACCTCTGCCGCCTGCCGCACATGCGTTGGGCGCCGAGGATGGCAGCAGCCGAGCAGTCCAGCGAAACCCCATTCAATGCTCGCACCAGCACGATCAACACTGCCGGTCAGCTTGCAGGGGGGCGCGGGCAAAGAGCCCGCAGTGGCGCCGGTCTGACATCCCATCCCGCCGGGGCGGGAGCCGCTTGATTGGCGCCCCGCACGGCAGCAGCCAACTTCTGGCCAATGTATGGATATCGTGCTGAAAACGTACCCTGGCCGCTGGGTCGAAATGGTCTGTCCCATTGGCATTGGTGCGCAGCGTTGTTCCGCAGCTGGCAACAGCCGAGGCGCGCGGGCTCGTCGGGGCTGCCAGGTGCAGGCAGGGCTGTTTCATGGTCGCCCTCGTTCATGTTTTGGCGCCCCAGCGAGGAGATGCACAGCAGTTGCGGGGCAGTGCCGATCTGTGCTGTGCCTGTCCAACAGCCGCAACTGCCACACCCGGCACTCGACCGCGGCATGTTGATCACCCAACACGTCGCTGGCGAGACCGCCGCTGCAACTACACAACTGGTGTGAATGTGCAAATCACTTCATGAACAGAGCGAATCCCAGCCCTTCACCCACCCATGCTGGAAGGCCGCCCGCATGCGACTGCACACCTGGCGATGCTGCGCACCTGTCCAGGCTCCAGGCTGGAATCCTCCGACAATCGCCCCTAGTCCTTCTTTATCTCTCAAATTGTAGGGCATCAGTGCTGCCGAGCGCGGTCAGGCCAGGGGGGGCCAGCTGGGCTCCAACATTGGCCGATGCCATGCTCGTTGTGGTGGTTGCTGTCACCACTGTGCCTGCTCGTGATCGTCCACCAGGTGATCTGGGGGCAGGTCCGGGGCCTCCTCGCTCCACCCAGCTGCCGGCCGCGTAACGCGGCCATGCATGTGTGTCCCCTGCAGTACAGTTGTTCCCAGCCCAGCCCTTGCTTGCCTGGGCTGCGCACTGCGGGCTGCCAGCCTGACAGAAGCTCACGGTTTGGGTCGTGAATGAGCTGAGGGAGGCTATGCCATCTGACGGTGGCTGCAGGTCGGAGTGGAGCTGGCGGCGGTGAGCCGCGGAGGGCGGCTGCCGCTGGCGGCTCGTGTGCAGCATCAGGCGACCACAGCAGCAGCAGGCGTGGTTGAAACTGGCGGTAGCAGTGCGTTGCTGAGCCGCAGGGTGCTCACACAAACCCAAACCGCAGATGAGCGGGAGGCAGCGGCAGCTCGTATCGCGGCCGCCACCGCCGCTGCCAAGGGCCCCCGGCCCCCGCCGGCCCCACTGCGACCCCGCATGCCGCCGCGCCCACCACCTGCCACGCCGCGTCGGCAGCCGCCAGCGATGCCACCCACTCGTCCAGCCCTGCGTCCCCCACCGCGCAAGCGCGTGGTGGCGACTCCCCCCCGCCCGCGGAGGCCGCCGGCGGCGGCGAGAAAGCCTCGGGCGCTGCCGCCGCCGGCAGTGAGGAAGCCGCAGGCGCTGCCGCCGCCGCCAATAGCCGTGCGGCCGTGGATCGTCGTGCCTCTCCCTTCGCCGTCCCCTCCCTCACCTCGCCCTCCATCACTACAGCCACCACCCCTCGCACCGCCACCACCGCCGCAACTGCAACAACCACCACCGCCACAACTGCCACCACCACCGCCGCCACTACAACCACCGCCATCTCCCAAGGCCCTTCCGCCACCACAACCGCCTGCGCCTCCATCCCCACCGGCGCCCCCCTCCCCACCAGCGCCTCCCTCACCTCCCCGGCCCCCACCAACCCCGCCTTACGCCTGGCAGCCCTTGACCGAGGTCCAGCGGGACAGGGCCGACCACCTTGTGTCCATCTTTGAGGGAGCCTCGCTGGAGCCCCAGTGTAGGTCTTGCCTGCCGCCGGCTGCCACATCACCTCCGGCTGTCCCGCCCTGTACGGGAAGCAGCAGCATGCACACCGTGCGATTAAAAAGTGGTTGGTACGCCCCATGCCTGCACAGCTAGCCAGCTGGCTGCATGGAAGCAGCCTGCAGCGGGTGGCTGATGGTGTGTCGTGTCCGCCTCCCTGCCTGGCTCGACCTGCTGCAGACGGATTTGCTGAAGAGCTGGGGGATGGGCGGGGCATCACCTTTGGCAGGTGGGCGGGGGCAGGCAGGGCAAGAGGAGGCTGGTCGGCCAGAGAGGGACAGGCCAGCCCAGCCAGCGAACACCAGCGCTGTCCCGCCTGCCTGCGCCTGAGTGCCTACCCGCCTGGCGGCACCGGATGCCCGTGGTGCAGGGCTGGGTTCACCACGGGGACGGGCGACGGGCTGGTGGTGGTGCAGCGGTATGCGGACCTTAAACCCGAGAACAACACCCTGGCTGAGTACCTGCCGGCCCTGAGGCACATCGTCCGCCAGCTGCGCGCGCTGGAGGCCAGCTCGGTGAGCCGGCAGTGGCTGGGCTGGCGTTCGGCAGAGGCGTGGGGGAGGCTTGGTGGCTGGCATGTCAGGCGTGGGTTGCTGCAAGGGTGGTGGTGAGGTGGAGCTCACGCGCATGCTGCGGTTATGCCGCAGAGCCATGACTTCAACGGCACCATCGATGACCTGGAAGGGCTGGATGGCTTTGCCGAGGTGGGCAGCTGTGGTGGTCAACCAGATGGCGGCTGCATGCAGCACGTTGGCCATCCCTGTAGCCGCATGGTCCATTGCTCACCAGGGGTTCACTGCCTCCTCAAGCACCAACCCTCACCAGCCACCAACACACACACACACACACACGTTACTGGCGGCTGCTTACATGCACTTTTGCTGGTCCCGCTGCGTGCCTGCAGGCGGTACGGGAGCTGGGCGGCGACCCCGAGTTCCAGGCGGTACAGGACATGACGCTGCAGGCGCTGTACTTTCAACCCTCCCAGCGCGCCGCCCGCGCCCTGGGCCTCAAGTGAGACCAGTTCCCGCGCCGCTGCCTGCGGCGTGAATGTCTGCCTGCCTGCCTGGTACTCAGGGAAGTGAGAATGGCTATGCCCCTGGCCAACTAGGTTGGACCGACGCGCCGCGCCCTGCTCCACTTGTGCTGCGACTGCCTGTGTGCTGCTGCCGTGCCCGCCTGGCAGGTACGCCCTGTCCAAGGCGCAGCTGTACGACGCCTGGGTGCAGCACGGCGCTGCCGACGCCGAGGGCAGCCACAGGAAGTTCCGCAAGGCCGCCAACGGCATCGTGGCGTGGGTGAACGAGGAGCTGGGGGGCACGCCGCTGACGGGCGTGAACGAGACGCTGTGGCTGGAGGTTGGTGGGCGGCCCGGGGGTGGTGCTGGCGGCGCGCCTGCCCCGCCGGCAGCGTTGGCAGTGCCAGGGCCAACCCTTCCACCCCTTCGGCCACCCGCTGCCGCAGACCTACCTGGCCCGCCGCAAGTGGGTGCTGGACAATGCGGATGAGACGTGGCAGGACAGCACACCGCGCGTGGACCTCTACCGCTGGCTGCTGGAGGTGGGCCGGGCATGCCGGTGTGGTTGGCTGCCCCTGCGCAACTGCGGCCAAGCTCCTGCCACCCAGATGGCACCGGTAGCACCTTGCGTGCGCATGCCCGACACACACAGCTCCCTACTCCCATGGCTTGCACCCTGGCCTGCAGTTGAAGGCTCGCGGCCTGGACAAGCCTATCCGGCTCAGCTGGGCCAAGTGCCAACTGACTGAGGGGGTGCACCACCGCGGCCCATGCACCAACCAGACCTCCGCCGCGTATGCCGTGGGCGGCGTGGACTATGGAGACTTCTACATACCCTGATGCCCCTGCCACCGCGCTGGCACCCCTGCCTGCCCTCATTTGGCCCATGGCTGGGCGCTGGTTGTGTGTGTGTGGGGGGAGGCAAACCTGATGCCTCGCCCCCCTTGGTGCATGCCTGAAAGTTTGTGTGTGTGCGTGTGATCAACCTCGTTATGCTGAAATGAATACTTCACGTGTGCTGTGAGCATCCATGCTCTCCTGCTTTGTACTAACAAGCGCCGCATTGGCGCGCTTCCAAACCGCCGGCCCATGCTGTGCTGGAACAGATTTTGTTCTATAATCAATTTATTCGTCTTTGTCTTTTCTTCGTATTCTCTACTGTCCCTGATCCCTCCCCACAATCACCTTCAGCGCATTCGCTGGGTGACTCCGCCCGCCAGGCCCCGCTTTGCACATCGCCGCTGCCGCCATTATCTTGGCTGCTGCCTTCTGCCAATCATTGTTCAATGGGTGCGCGTGCCTGGGGGTCTGTGGGCCACCCAACAGATCGTGCTGCTTTGAATATGTGCCACGTTGGCCACTGGCCTGAATCCTGCACTACATGAAACCAGATCGAAAGGCGCCACCCAGCACGATTTTGGCTTACAATCGCCGCAGTACGTTCGATTATGCACCCGCAAGTCTAAGAACGAGGCGCCTGCAGCGGGGCTGAATGGCAGCCCCCGCTCCCTGCGTCCCCCTGGTCTGCGCGGCGCTGGTGTGCTTGATGGTGGTCCAGGTGGGCGCAATCCGCTGGCACCGACGCCACCGGCCCAGGGAGGGGGCAGGGACTCTGCATGCCCCTGACATGCCGCACGAACTCCCTGTCCCCCAAACTGTTTGGGGCCTCCATCGGAGTTCAAGTTGATTGATTTTGAAGCCCGTGCTCCTGCAGGTCGCAGCTGCGAGGGTGGGTCTCAGCAGCAGCGATGCCGCCGCTGCCGCCTTGCCGGCTGATGCCCGGCAGTTGCCCCTGGAGCCCTTCAGGACACTGCCGCTGCAGCAGCGCAAACAAATGAATGCTAGGTGGGATTGGGCTGCCAGTACACATGATGCTCGTATTCTCCTGCCGGTGCCCAGCGCCCTTGCCTCATTGAGCATGCTGCTGCCGCTGCTTGCTCTGTGTAGGCTGCGCCGCTTGCGGCAGCTCTCAGACGAGGCGCAGGCCCGGATAGAGGCTGAGCAGCAGATCGCACAAGCCACAGCGCTGGTGCTGGCTGCCCAGCAGCCCAGCCCGCCGCCGCCCGAGTCTCCGCCGCCGCCACCTCCGCCGCCCGCGCCCTGGCTGCCCCTGGCGCCAGCACAGAGGGCCCAGGCCGACAAGCTGCTGACCATTTTCGAAAATGCGTCGCTAGAGCCAAAGTGTGAGTGAGGCGCTGTTGGCTGCACCTTGCTCGCGCTGCCTAGACTTCAGCCACATACACCCCAGCGCTGCCCGGGAGGCAGCCAGGCAGCCAGCGGTGTTGAAAATTGCAGCCCCTGCTGTGCCCGCTCACCTGCCTGCAGATGGGTATGCCGAAGTGCTGGGGGATGGGCGGGGCATCACCTTTGGCAGGTGGGCCGGGGCAGGGCAGGGCAGCTGTGAACTGTAGTGGCCTCCTGCCAGTGCTGCGTGCCTGATGGACTACGCCCGTCACAGACCTGCTGCGCTCTGCCCTGCGCAGGGCTGGGTTCACCACGGAAACAGGCGACGGGCTTGCGGTGGTGCTCAAGTACAAGCAGCTGAAGCCGCAGGACAACACCCTGGCGCGCTTCCTGCCCGCGCTGGAGCGCCAGCGACTGTCGTCGGGTGGAGAGGCGCAGGTGGGGCCCTCTGGGGGCTGCATGCATGGACGTGACAAGATGCTGTGGCAGCCGCGAGGGGAGTCGGCAGCACGGCCAGCGCCTTGCCTCTCCAGCAGCTTGCCTGGCCTCCAACAGCAGCCACCCGCGGGGCGGGCCCGGGCTGCGCCCTCTCCAAACCTGATGTGCTGTGTGTGGGCTGCCTGCAGGTGCGTGCAAACGTGAGCACGGCTACGAATGCCACCGCAGGCCGCAACCAGACAGAACTCATATCGGTGAGCCCGCCCCGCCCCGCCACAGCGCCTCTCTGCTTTGCTATGCCCCGGCAGCCGGTGCTCTGATCTGACGCGCTGCTGGGTGTGGCGTCCCGTGCTGCAGAATCCAACTGTGTCGCTGTCGGCGGAGAGCACCGACCTGGCAGGCCTGGAGGGCTTCATCCAGGTGGGCGCCTGCAGCCCCGCAGCGACTCGCCCCGCAGCACAAGCGGCAGCTGCGGCCCACCTGACGTGACCTGCGGGGAGCCGCGGAGTGCGGCCAACTCGTGGCTCTGCTCCCCCCGCCCTGGCCTAGTTCCCTGCCGACTCACGCCGCCAACCGCCCGCCCATTGTGTATGCAGGCGGTGCAGCAGCTGGGGGGCGACCCCGCCTTTCGCCAGGCCCAGGACATCGGCCTGGAATACTTCTACTTCAACGCCTCGCAGAGAGCGGCGGAGGGCCTGGGCCTCAGGCAAGCCAGGCTGGCTGCAGGCCGGCTGGGCCACCAAAGGGCATCACTCGCGGCACATGCGCGGGGACTGGGGACGAGAGCCTGGCTGCGGCCAGGGGAGAGGAGCAGCCATTCTCTCCTCGCTCCCTGCGCTGTACTGACCGCCCCCCCACGCATGTTCCCGCACCCTCACACACACGCATGCGCTGTGCTGCCTGCAGGTACGCCCTGTCCCAGGCCCAGCTGTACGACGCCTGGGTGCAGCACGGCGAGGCCGCGCCCGACTCGCAGCAGCTGGACATGTCCGCCAACGGCATCGCGGCATGGGTCAGCCAGCAGCTGGGCGGCTCGCCCAAGCAGGGCGTGAACGAGACGGCGTGGCTGGAGGTGGGGGCGGGCGCGCCTGTGCTGGAGCAGCAGGGCTGCTGCCACGATGTGGGCTGTGCTGCGTGCGTGGTGGGGCCTGGGGTGCAACATGCCGGTGTGCTGATCCCCCCATCCGGCCTCCCTGTGCAGATGTTTCTGCGCCGCCGCCTGTTTGTGCTTGAGAACCGGCCCGAGTTTTCGGCCCGCGACAGCCGCCCGCGCGTGGAGGTGTTTTCCTGGCTGCTGCAGGTGTGTGGGGCCCAGCCCGCCAGCGCTGCGTGCGTGCTGGCCTTGCCACGGAGTGCTGGCAGGCAGGCGCCATGAAGGGATGTGGGGCACTTGCCAGGAGGGCAGCATCAAGCTTGCCAGGCTGCGGCACCTTCCTCCCACTGAACCCGCCCCGGGAGGCCATGCAAGCTGCGCTGTAGGCTGGAAACCTCCGCATGGACAAGCCCATCCAGCTGAGTTGGGCCAAGTGCCAGCTGACGGCGGGGGTGCACCACCGCGGCCCCTGCATCCCCCAGCCCGCCCAGGCATACTCGCTGGGCGGCGTGGTCTTTGGAGACTTTCTGGTGCCGCTCGGCTGAGCCCCTTGAGCTTGCGGGGCAGGCGCGGCGAGGCGGCGCAGCGGGCCCTCAGCGGTGGCACCCAGCTCCCTAGCGCAAAGTGAACCCCCGCCAACCAACCCAACCACCTACCCTACGGCGACCTTTGCACCTGCGACCGTTGGTTATCGATCCCCTCTAGCATTTTCTTGTACTCTCTTGACAACTTCCCTCCAATTATGTATGTACTCCTTGTTGTGCTCGCCCTGCATCGGCACATTGCCGCGGCGCTGCTGTTGCTTGCAGATCGTTAGGTAGCCCGCTCCAGATTTTGTTCAGGGCCATTGCACCCTCACGCTGACTTTTCGCTGCATATGTAGCTCTGTTTTGAAATCTTAGACGACTCTCAACGTTTACTCGCTGCCTGGAATGCCATTATACACTGCTCTGCCGTTGCACAGTGCTGTGCAATGCACGCTCATCTCCTCGCTTGCACTCTCTGCCCGACTCCTCCTTTTGTAAGGGTTACCCAGCTCCTAAGGGACAGGTGGAGCCAAGATGAACATCTTGTGGGGTCGGGCAGCCTTCCTTTTATGCAGAGCTCGTCTTCGGGCCACACATACCTCGACGGCCTTCCAGCGCCTGCGCCCTGCTGTGGCCCGCGCAGCACAGCGTGCCCTCAACTTTAGGTCCGAGCCCCCTGGTTGTGTGTGCAGCGAATAGAACCTGCTCCGCCTTGTTGCTGCCTGTGCCCTCGTGATCGCACTAGTTACTTGGCAGCGCAGCACAACCTCGCGAGATGGCCCTGCGCCGGGGGCCGGGATTGACGGCGCTGAGCCGCACCAGGGCGGCCAGGGTGCGCCGCCGCCCTGCCGCCCTGCCGCGCCCGCCCCCTCCGCTCGCTGCCGCTGCCGCCGCTCGCGCATATGCCCTCGCTCACCCCGCCCCTCGCGGCCCCTCCGCCTGCCTCGCCCATGGTGCAGGAGCAGTTCAAGAGGAAGGGCGAGGAGGTGGCTGAGACCAAGGCTGCTGTGATGAAGGCGCAGATGGCGCACTTCAAGGCCAGCCTCGAGGAGTTTGCGCTCAAGCACAAGGCAGACATTCGGCGCAACCCAGAGTTCAGGTGCCTGCCTGCCTGGCCCCTGGCCAGGCAGGGTGATGGCTGGTCGGTGTGTGCGCATGTAGAGAGGGAGGGAGGGAGGTGCTGCTGATGCGGGGTACTTCCTCGCGTGCTTGCTGTCAGCGGAGCGGCCCCCGCTGGCGACGCCCCGGCCTGTGAGCACCGCGCTTCGCGTCTGCCTTGTCTGCAGGGCTCAGTTCCACGCCATGTGTGCCACGGCAGGGGTGGACCCTCTCGCCTCCAACAAGGGCACCTGGAACAAGCTGCTGGGGCTGGGAGGTGGGCGTCCGGGCTGGCGCGGGAACCTCTGCGCCTGCTTTCCTCTGCGCCTGCCAGAGATGCTGCCTCTGCCATGCGGAGTTTTGCCCCCATCGCCACCACCACTGCACACATGCACACAAACCACACCTCCCTGCCCTCCCAAACCACACCTCCCTGACCCCCCGCAGACTTTTACTATGAGCTGGGGGTGCAGGTGGTGGAGGGGTGCATCACATCGCGCCCCATCACAGGCGGCTTCATCGAGCTGTCGCGGGTGCATGAGTATGTGCGGGTGCGCGGGTGCTCGCCAGCTTGCGCAGCCCAGGCAGCCAAGCCAAGAGCAGCCAGCCAGCCAAGCCAAGGAGCGCTCTCCTCTCCTCTAGCCCTGCCCTGCCCCTGCCCTGCCCTGCCCTGCCCTGCCCTGCCCCCTGCCCCGTGCTCTGGCCACCCTCCCTTCCCCCTGCCTGCCCCCTCGCAGCGGCGGCGCGGGTCCCGGGCAGATCCCGTGAGCGAGGATGACCTGCTGAGAGCCATCGAGAAGCTGCAGGGCCTGGGCAGCGGGTTTGGCGTGGTGCGCATCGGCAACCGCTCCTTTGTGCGATCTGTGCCCACCGAAATCAGCACAGACTCAAACACGCTCATAGAGCTGGCAGAGGTGTGCGTGTGGGCGGGGCTGTGGGTGTGGGGTGGGGTGGATGGACGGTTGGGGTGGGCGTTGTTGGTGCCGTACTGCACGTGCCCGCTGTGCTGGTCTGCACGCCTGGTGGCTGGGCGGAGCGGGCCAGCGGGCACGGGGCGTGCCCAGCCGGGCTCCTGCCCACCTGCCTGCCTTCCTGCTGACACCCTGCCCTGCCCTGCCTTGCCCTTCCCTGCCCTGCCTGCGCCCGCGCAGCGGTCTGGCGGCTACTTCAGCCTGGCGGATGCAGTGGCGGCCACCGGGTGGCAGGAGGCGCGGCTGCGGGATGCGCTGGGGGCCATGGCGCGGGAGGGGCTGCTGCTCATAGACGACCAGCCGGGTGTGTGCCGGTGTGTGTGTGTGTGTGTGCGCGCGCGTTTGGCTGTGTGTGTGGGGGGGTGGGGGGGA